AGTGGAAAGGGAGACAACACGACTCGCAAGTAGCGCGAAAAAACAAGACCTCGCTTCCGAAGGATAAATAATGACACAATATGGAGCGAGGACAGGCGATCACTCCCGACATGTTTCGGCCACCTCGCCTAAGTGGCCATCATCAGGGGATGCGCGCTTGCGAGGAATCCGGAACCATCGGTATATATACCGAAGAGGAGCTACGCGTTCCCCCGACATTCCGCACGTCGGAGCTGAAAAACCACCATTTTCTGCCTAAGTTCCAAAGAAGAGAGCGGGAACGTATAACATGTCTGAGGGAGTCCAAGGCAGTGTCGTGAGTAAGACGTATTCCAAGATTTCAAAACCAGGCAGCTGAAATATGAGGGCGGGAAGAAGATTGCAGGGCGCAGGAAGACAGGTACGGAGGTCGAGATGGGCGATGAGCGGGAAAGGAAAGYGGGATGACAGCCGAGCAAGCACTGAGGGCGCARTTGCGAGGGAGCAAGGAGACAAATCAGCATGGGCAGAGATATCTAGGCCGACAGATTTGGGATGGTAAGAAGCGGAAGGGCTGAAAACGTGGGGCTAGGTGTGGGAAGAATGAATGTGGACTGTATCACAACTAAAGACATTCCCCTGACGTTTCTACAATTTGAACTCCACTCGATCAGTCTAGATAACGCGGGCGGACTGAGGCCGATCTGAATACGAGGCTGCTGCATAGTGCTGATGCCTTGTCGAGGTAAGGAATCAGATATTGGACAACATTCTAAATCTGAGCGGATGTTCTGGATCTTTTCCCAGTCCTTCCAAAAAAAATTTAACCCATCCATCCCAGCATTTTTCATTGGCCGCCGAAAAATCCTTCAGAGCTTTTAGAAACATCCAGGCTGAAAAGCTCTTGAGCCTGAGTTCCCGCCTTAGAGAAAGCAGACACTGACCCACTCCTCTGGAATCGGAGGAGTGGGCCTTGATCCTATAGAGGTGGCATTTGATGACGCCGATCTTTTGCGTCCGGGGCCCATACGACCAGCAGTCTTGAGTGGTTTGGAATGTGACTCTGCCCTTATCCCAGATATCTATTTGGTTTCTCATCCTGGCTTCACAATGAACTGCAGGCGGGTACCCCTATGTGACCACTCTGCAACCCAGAAAATCAAGATCACCGAATCGGTCGTCCGTCCTTACTAACGTCAGTTTTTGGTTATAGATACTACTGAACTTACCGAAGAGAGTCCTTGCCTTGTCCAGAGAGGCCTGAGAAGAGTTAGGGAGGATGAGAAACATAGCGACATCGTCTACGAGTCTGCACCCAGCGACCAGTCGGCGGTCTTTGCCAAGAGAGTTGAGAAAACAAAATTCTTGGTGAGCGCACAAAAGGCAGGCCAGAGCGGGACTAGAACTCTTTCCCATAGGAATTCCTACCATTTGTCGAATAATGAGAGAGGAGAGTTTTGAAAAAGAGTGTTCTAAATCGAACTTCACGAAGTCAATCAGCAAACAAAACTTGATTCTAACCCAACCTTTTTCCCCGCGACCTTTACCCAGTGCAATCCCTTTGCCTGATCTGTTAATGCGAATGGCGTTATGTCCCTTTCCCAGAAAAAATTGCATACCCATTCCACGGCCCTAATGATCTCCAGGTGAGACAATTTCGTGAACATCTCTTTGATGTCGAAGCTCGACGCAAGGAGCATTCCGTCCGTCAACCGTCCTACTTTTCGATCGAGAGTCCTGATCCGTTTTTTTAACAGTTTCGTGCTTTTCAAATTGAAATGACTAGACTCGAGAATTCTCCAAAGTAACCCGTGGATCGCTTTGGCCACCAGCTTACAGGCTCTTACGCTCGGCTCTGAGAAGGATGGTGCTATGGGTCTCCACCGGTTGACGTCTTTGTGCTTAGGGATTCCATAGGCACACCCCAAACTCCCTTTCGTGTGCCAAGGTGCCAGTTGCTGAGCTAGTATGCTATAGTACGCTGCCCTGCAACTGGTTAGTATTTCTTCTTCCGACCTCCTTTCTACAACAAACCCTTCATTATCCCAATACAATGCCTTCAGAGCTTTATGGTAAATAGAAGCACAACAGACGTAGGAATCACCATTATTGTGGTCTATAGGTGCAATCACAAGATCCTTCAGGTGGTCTTTCCAAATATCAACCACATCTCTGTCTAACGGGCTGTCCTGGTGCTGTGCGAGAAAACAAGCTTGGAGAACGTCACGTCTACCCACCCTGTCGTCCGTGCTGGGTATTGTGGCTAGTCCTTCTAGGAGTGCCTTCCTTAATCTGAAAACAGACACAGACAGCGTAGGTAATAGAATATTATTGGGATTTTTTAGTGCCTCTGGTATGAATCCCATGTGGGAAAACCGAAACGCCACATGTCCTTCGTCATTCCGGGGGAAGTCATTACTCGCATTGCCGCAGGAGCAGCTGGCTGTGTCTGTACGAGACAACTGTCTATGGTTATGCATTCTATCATCAACAGAAGGGTTGCCTGTCCATACAATCTTCAGTCTTGATATTATGAAGTCAGCCAAAAATTGGTCAGGACATCGCCGGCGGATGACAGCCTTTGCTAGATCCCCCACTTTCCCTTTCTTGATGCGGTTGTCATATGTGACATGTACTACCACCGGAGCGAGGTAGCGAAACCCACAAGATTTAGTTAGTGCCCGTCCTACAACCCACAAAATTTAGTTAGTGCCCGTCCTACAGCCCGTACTACCACCGGAGTGAGGTAGCGAAACCCACCGCAGAACCAATCACCACCGAAACTAGCAACCAAAGCATGAACTTCCCCATTTGCCAAGATCTCATCAAGCATTCTTAAGAGAGAGTAAGAGGCAGCCGAAGATGGCCAATGATCCGGAATCGGCAGAGAAACGGGGGAGGTTCCCCATCTGATGAGATTTTCACTGTTCGTATCCTTCTTATCGAAGCTCTTTGTTCTGCGCAGGAAGGAGTGGCGTTCTCTCCTCCCCTTTCTACAACACTGTTTCTTCTTTTTCTTGACACAGTTCAGAACAGGTGACCAACGAGAGAGAAAAACATTCTCAACATCTCGGATCTCATCCACTGGAGGGAAGGCAATTGGGATGGCTACGTAGGATGACCAGTGTTTGCGCTGGAACCATCTGCGCAGCCTATGGTTCCTACAATCACCGGACTTTAACGATCTCCTAACGTGCTTTTCCCATCGAACATCCAAGGATCTCGTCGTAGAGCCAATGTACGTAGCCTTAAACCAAGGCGAGATGAGAGCGTAAACGCATGGACCGTTAAATTCGCAAATCCTCTTCCCTTCTTTTAGCAAAACCCTCCAATCCGACGCAAATTTCTCTGCCCATGACAACTGCTGAGACAGAGCTAAAAACAAAACCAAAAACCTCATCAACCGGTCATATTCCCGTGCCAAACCCCCCCGCCAACCTTCAATCTTTTTGTCGTTTCTGACCTTTTCTAGATCCAGCCAGGCGGAGGGGATACGAAAAAACTACTAAGAGGGATTCTCATCTTGGGAATCTTCCTCAGACACCTCTTCCTCAGAGTCCTCGCCGTAGGCCTCGATAGCCCGGATACGGGCCAGAGCTGCGCTCGTAATCTTCTTGTTGACATACTTGATCTTATCTTTTTTGCACAGTTCCTCCATCTCATGCTTCGTCTTTGCGAACAAGGCCTCAGTAAGTTCCTCCACATACTTCTTTCTGCCTTCTTTCCCAGGGCCGGCCACAGCCGCCTTCTTCCCTCTGACAACTCGATCGAATCCTAAGTCTTGACCGGCTCATTGATTGAGATGCCGTGCGAACGCCTCCTCATCCCATTCCCAACAATGGAGGAGAACATCCTTGCTAGCCTGGCAGAGAAGCCCCCCCCTGTGGGAGTGTCGTTCCGTTCAGATCGTGACCTTGATGGTCCAGGTTCAGTAACCGGCACCCGACGACTGGGTGCCGAGGGCGCAGCCCGTGTCAACAGTGGTGAGGTTGGGGAGGCAGGAGCATGGAAGGATGGAGGGGGTGGGGGTGGAGGAGGTTGGGGTGTGGGGGGATTGACAGGAGGGGCCGGAGGGTGGGGTGCAGGAGGGTTGGCGGGAGGAGCAGGAGGGGGAGCTTGTGCAGGAGGAGGGGGATGAGACTGTACAGGGTCCTGTGCATTGTGACCAGCCGCCGCGAACGATCCCTCACCCTGCTTTCTGATTGCTTCAAGGCAGCACAACATCTGGTGAAACATGGCTGCCTGGGCCTCTTGAGCTTTCCTAACAGAGTCAATATCCATCCTAATAAGCCCTGCGTCTAGAGGTGTAGGGACAACGTCAACCCTTGGTCTGCCAGTGCCTAGTTGATGCGGGTTCTCTGAATTGACCGCCATGGTTCCTTGATCCCGCTTCTTGCTCTCGCCATTCTCCCCACCCTTGCTGTTTTCACCGTCCTTGGCCGGGGGATCAATTTTGTCCCAGTTCCTCTTACTAATATCAGCGGAACCCCCTTGCTTCTTCGCCTCTATTTCCTCCATTTGTTCCCGGACGATGCAAGCGAGTCTTGCTTCTCGATCGGCCTCCCTCTTCGCCTCTTGTTCTAGTCTGCGTTCCTCTTCCTCACGAGCCAATCTAGCCTGTTCTTCTCTCACCCTCCGATCTTCCTCATCACGTCTCCTTTCCCTTTCTTCCCGCCTTTCGTTCCAAATTTCCCGCAAGATCATGAGCCCTTCCCCTTCTCCCCCGATGTCCCGAGGACGATTACTCCATCCACGTGGCCCATTACCGTTCGTGCCACTACGTGGCTGTTGGTGTGGAAAAGCGTTCTGCGGTGGCTGGTACCGAATGATAGCGTTGGAGGCAATCGGCATGACCGGCGGAGCATGCAGCAGCGGCGGGGGTGGAGCTTCGAAACGCTGAGCTGGCTGACCTGGAGCCTGCTGATTGGGAATCGGCTGAATATGCACTTGAGAAGGCTGCGGTGGCGGAAGAATCGGTCTCCCTTGAATGAATCCTTCGCTTCTCGTTGGAACGACATTGGCACCCGTGCTCGGGGCCCCAAATCCTTCGCCCCTTGGAGAGCCATTGTAACCGTTGTTACGTGGCGGATACGGGCACCATCTGGCGAAATGCCCGTAGAGCCCGCAGTTGTAGCAGTTGCGGTTGGGACCGCCATAGCTACCGTCCGCCATACTAACTATAGCGCGTATCGTATCTTAAACTACAGCGAGGCAGATCAGAAACTTGATCGGACCAAAATGACGCGATCCGATCCCTGTGGATCCTTGAAACTTGTTGGACCCCAATCACCCTTTCGTCCGAATGTTGCGCGATCGTTGGCAAAATGCGCCGCGAGAAGTAGAGGGAAGGAGGAGAGATGAACGAAAGTGAAGGAAGGGAGATAAACAAGACAGAAGAGAAACGCGACAGAAAAGAGTAAGAATCCGATGCCTGGTCGCCCTGAGGAAGCCTCGTCACCGTATTACCTGGCGTCTCCACCACTCCGCGACTAGCGCGGTGGTTAACACGCTACGCAAAGGACATGAAGTCGATGATGCAATCGCGACTGTCACAGTCGAGCAAGAGCCCGGGCAGTACACGAGATGAGGACCGACTAAGCAACCAACCAAGGGGGAGAGAGAGAGAGAGAGAGAGAGAGAGAGAGAGAGAGAGAGAGAGAGAGAGAGAGAGAGAGAGAGAGAGAGAGAGAGAGA